GGTGTTGGCCAGAGTGGCCACCAGGGAAACCTGGGGAGGGCTAGCCTCCCACTAGTTCAAATTAAGGGGCTACACACCCCTTAATTCGAACTAGCTAGTTCGAACTAGGCTTAATCCTCGTGGAATGAGGATTACCTAGTTCGAACTAAGCGCTCCGTTAGTTCGAATTAAATTCGAACTAACTGAGTGCTAGTGTAGCGCCTATGAAAGTTAGTTCGAACTAACTTTGTAGTGTAGACATACCCTTAGAGTTCTTTGACGGGGTTAACAAACATGTGGACCAGGAGGATTCAGTAGATATAATATATTTAGTTTTTCAGAAAGCCTTTGACAAAGTTCCTCACCAAAGGCTCTTGTATAAATTACATTGTCATGGGATAAGAGGGAAGGTCCTTCCATGGATTGAGAACTGGTTAAAAGACAGGAAACAAAGGGTAGGAATAAATGGTAAATTTTCAGAATGGAGAGGGGTAACTAGTGGTGTCCCCCAAGGGTCAGTCCTAGGACCAATCCTATTCAACTTATTCATAAATGATCTAGAGAAAGGGACAAGCAGTGAGGTAGTAAAGCTTGCGGCTGATACTAAACTGTTTAAGATAGTCAAGACAGAAGCAGACTGTGAAGAATTTCAAAAAGATCTCACAAAACTGAGTGATTGGGCAACAAAATGGCAAATGAAGTTTAATGTAGATAAGTGTAAAGTAATGCATGTTGTAAAAAATAACCCCAACTATACATATAATATGATGGGGGCTAGTTTGGCTACGACAAATTAGGAAAGAGATCTTGGAATTATCGTGGATAGTTCTCTGAAAAACTTCCACACAGTGTGCTGCGGTGGTCAAAAAGGCAAATAGAATGTTAGGAATTATTAAGAAAGGGATCGAAAATAAGACACAGAATATCTTACTGCCCCTGTATAAAACTATGGTACACCCACACCTTGAGTACTGTATACAGATGTGGTCTCCTCACCTCAAAAAAGATATTTTGGCCTTTGGAAAAGGTTCAGAAAAGGGCAACTGAAATGATCAGGGGTTTGGAACAGGTCCCATGTGAGGAGAGGCTAAAGTGACTGGGACTTTTCAGTTTGGAAAAGAGGAGACTGAGGGGGGATATGATAGAGGTATATAAAATCATGAGAGGTGTGGAGAGGGTGAATAAAGAAAAGTTATTCATTAGTTCCCATAATTTAAGGACTAGAGGACACCAAATGAAATTAATGGGTAGCAGGTTTAAAACTAATAAAAGAAAGTTCTTCTTCACACAGCACATAGTCAACCTGTGGAACTCCTTGCCGGAGGATGTTGTGAAGGCTAGAACTATAACAGAGTTTAAAGAGAAGCTAGATAAATTCATGGAGGTTAGGTCCATAAAAGGCTATTACCCAGGGTGTAGGAATGGTGTCCCTGGCCTCTGTTTGTCAGAGGCTGGAGATGGATGGCAGGAGACAAATCGCTTGATCGTTGTCTTCGGTCCACTCCCTCCAGGGCACCTGGCCAATGTCGCCAGACAGGCTACTGGGCTAGATGGACCTTTGGTCTGACCCAGTATGGCTATTCTTATGTTCTTATGTTATATGCTGGATTTTTGTTTTCATATATATATATACTCTCTTAAAATTTTGCAAAAGCCATAAACCTAATTGATTTCAGCTGATAATGAATATCATAGATGACTAAACTGTGTGTTAAAAAAGAGTATTTCCTTATATCAGTTTTAAATTTGTTGTCTTTAAATGAAGAACACATAATTGGCAGAGACAGAAGTACCACAAAATTAAGTCAATGTTGTTACTGAATGTGCTAGACTTCGTCATTAGGGTGTTTTCCTGTACTACGATGAATATCCTCAGCTCCTTGTGAATTTAATGGAAAAGTTGGAAAATCTTCCAGGATCATGCTTAACACTGATGCAGAAGCACTTTCTTATAGCTATTGAATCAGCTCCACCCTAATTAAATTTTCCCATCAAATTAAATTATAGTTCTAATACAATGGTTTTCAGATACTGTCTCTCAAAGAACTTTACTCACATCTCCTGCTATAATGCTAGATATAACGATAATTCTGAATGTAATTTTTGTCTTACCTTTATAATGTAAATATAGTGTGTCATTCAAGCATGGGGTCACATATAATTTTTGCTGTTTGCAGATGTCTCGCAGTAGCTTTTTTGTCATTCTAAAATATTAACAGGAAGCATGAACAACTTAAAAATCTTTAATTATAACACATTCTGAAAGCTTTATCTGCCATATTTTAAATAGCTGAACAATCTGCTTCTTCAGTGACACATAACTTGGGCTATGTCTATACTACAGAGTTTTTGTGGAAAAATAGCTGTTTTTCAACAAACACTCGTGGAGCGTCTATACCTCAAGCACGTTTTTGCACAAGAAAATCAAAAGAACAAAGGGGTTTTTGCACAATTGATATTCCTCTTTCTACGAGGAAGAAGCCTTTTTGTGAAAGAGTTCTTTCGCAAAAAGGCATGTGTGGAGAGGGAAGAGGGTTTTTTTTTTGGTTTTTTTTTGGTGCAAAATGAGGAAAGAGGAAAAAGCACAGGTGCCCTGATGGCCATTCTGGGCATATCAATCAGTGCTTATTTTCAAGACAGCGTCCATGTAGTCTGGACACTCTCTTTCATAAAAGTCCATCATTTTTTCGATGAGATTTTGCAGTGTGGACTTGCTCTTGCGCAAGAAGCTTTTGCGGAAAATCTCTTCTGATAAAAGCTTCTTGCACCGTCTAGACGTAGCCTCAGGTATGTCTATACTACAGAGTTTTGTCAGAAAAATGGCCATTTTTCCGAAAAAACCTGAGTTATGTCCACACTGCAGATTGCATTATTTCGAAAGTAAATCGAAAGATCCGAGAGTTTTTTCCGGCATAGGTAATCCTCTTTCTACAAGAAGCCTTTTCCAAAAGAGCTCCTGAGGAAAAAGGCGTGTGTGGTTGGGGAGGAGGGGTTTTTTTTTGAAAGAAGAGGCTTCCAGGAAATAACACAGGTGCTCTGGTGGACACTCGGTCAAAATTAATCAGGAACAAGCCTGGTGGCAGGAAGCCGGCCTGAGAGCAGCACCTCACTGTGGCTCTCCCTGCCATAGGCCTTGCCACTCATGGCCCAGCCTCAACCCCTCCGCAACCCTCTTGGCCTTCGCAAGGAGCAGCCCAAAGGGTCCCAGGACCCACCCAGGGGGACCAAGAGGTGGGCACCCTTCTGGTCCACAGACAAGATCCTGTCCCTCCTTGAGCTGAGGGAGGAGGACACCTTGCAGGATCTCCACTCCAAGCACTGCAACACGGAGATCTAAGGGTATGTCTACACTAGCTCATTAATTCGAGCTAAGTAGGCAAATGAGGCAACCGGAGTTGCAAATGAAGCCCGGGATTTAAATATCTCAGGCTTTATTTGCATGTTCGTGTCCAGTTGCCATTTTGAAATTTCACTAGCCCGAACTCACTGCCATGCAGCTACACAGAGCAGTAAAACATTAATTCGAACTAAGTCCTGTTACTCCTCATGGAGGAGGAGACGGAGACCATGACCCTGTTCCTGGAGCCAGTGCCTGTGAACATCTCCCAGTCCTTGTTGGATCCAGGGAGGGGTCTTTGTCACACACACAGGGCAGAGGAGGCTGGCACACAGGGGGTGGGATGCGAGTGTCACTTGGGCTGCTTGGGCTAGACATCGTGCTGCGGTCCGTGTGCGGCACATGGACACAACAGGCAGCCCCTGAGCACAGGTGGGATCCTGTTGCCAAGCTCAGAGGTGGTCACACACGTCTTGCCATGGGGTGGAGGGTGGGAGAAGGGGCTCTCAGCACCTGCCAGAGCTGGAAGCAGGCTAGCCACCAGGGCACAGGTATGACACCAGACACACCAAGGAGTGCAGCGCACAGCACATGGGCGTGCCTGCATGTGCGAGGCACTACCTGCTCCCACGGGCAGCGCTGTGAGCTGCAGGTGTGTGTGCGGATACCAGGGAGGGCCAGGCTGATGTGCGGATATGAGGGATGGCCAGGGTGTGCGGATACCAGGGAGGGTCTGATGCCCACGAGGGAATCCCATTGTGGCCAGACACTTCCCACTCACCCCTGGCCCACGGAAAAGCAGGCAAGGGAAATGGGCAGTATGGTCCCCTGGGTAGCTCAGGGCCCTGTGAGGCAGGGCCCACTGTGCAGGCCACACATGGCCTAGCTCTTGGGACATCCCCCTCCTCAGCCCCGAGGACTGTTGGTCGCTGCTCACAGAGGAGGGCATGGCCTCAGGGACAGTGTCTGCATGGATGACTGACCGCCTCTCCCTCTTTGTGTCCTCCACAGCTGGACCAGCCGGGACTGAAAGGAAAGCCACACCACCAGAGCCAGAAGCCAGAGCCAGGGGGCCTGAAAGCAGGCCAGAGTACAGGAAAACCTCATGCGCCAGCATGTCAGCGTCCTGCATGACATGAAGCAAACCCTGGCACAGAAGGTCTGTAAGGACTCAGAATGGTAGAACTGCGCATGCGACCAGCTCATGCAGCAATGTCATAGTATGTGTGCCATCATGTCATGCACACCCGGCTGCTGTTGCTGCTCCTGGCTTCCACTCTCCTGCCCTCCCTGCTATGCTCATTCCCACTCCGTCTGCCCCCCATGATATGCCTTTGTTCCCTTCCAAGGTGATGCCCATCTCCCCTCCCCTTCCCTTACCCTCCTGCCACTCCTGACCTTGCTCCAGTCCCCCCTCCTGTCTTTCCCTCCTGTTGTCCTGGACCCACCCAACTGCAACTCCGATGAGGTCCCTGCACCTGAGCTGGCACATCTAGCCACCCTCCTTTCCCTCTAGGCTATGAGCTCTACTCCAACTCCAGGTTATGAGCTCACCTCCCCCTGCCCACCTTTTCTGAATGTAAGATAAATACAGACTTCATTTTGTTGGAAACCAAACAGGTGTCTTTATTGAGAGGTCAGGGAAGAGGCAAAGGGAGAGGTTGTGGTGGGGAAGGAATAGGGCTGCAAGCCAGAGGCCCCTGGGGGGTGGCCCTGAGGAGAGTTATTGGGGTGCTTGAGAGAACCTCTCTCTCAGGGTCTCCCAGATGTGCATCCCGGCCTGATGGGCCTGGCAGATGGCAGCTGTCCTTGGCTGCTGGAAGGCTCGCCCCTCGCAGACAGCGTCAAAGTTGATGACCTTCACCACTTGCAGAAGGAGACAAACAAACACACAAAACAGAGAATGAGAGAGGGAGTGCCTGAACCCTGGGGAGGTGCCCGTCCCCCTCTTTTCCCCTCCCCTCCTCCAAACATCCCAGGAAGAAAGAGTTACTCACCTTGTGCAGTAACGGTTGTTCTTCGAGATGTGTCCCCGTGGGTGCTCCACTCTGGGTGCTGGTGCGGGTTGCAGGTGGGTGTCTTGTCTCCAGAGGGTGGGGGCGAGCCAGGCACATAGCTCCAAAAAGGTGGCCTTCTGCATGCATAAGTTTTGGAAACCCTGCTAGTCATCCCACCGCTCCATGACCAGCCGGCCCCACCAGTCCAAACTGGAGTTGAGCCTCCAGAAACACCTCTCCACAGTGGGTTTTTGACCAGCCGTCACACCCCAATAACTCTCCCCAGGGCTACCCCTCAGGGACCTCTGGCTTGCAGCCCTATCCCTTCCCCACCACAACCTCTCCTTTTGCCTCTTCCCTGACCTCTCAATAAAGACACCTATTTGGTTTTCAAGAAAATGAAGTCTGAATTTATCTTACATTCAAAAAAGGTGGGCAGGGGGATGGGGGCTCATAACCTGGAGCAGGAGGGGAGCTCATAACCCGGAGGGAGAGGAGGGTGGCTATATGTCCCAGCTCGGGTTGTTGTGCTCCCCCATGTCAGGGAGTGCCAGCAGGCACCTGAACGGGGCCTTTAGGCACCCGAAGGCGCATTCAACCTGCATGCAAGCCCAGTCCAGGTGCGCGTTAAATTGTTCCCTGCTCAGGTTCAGGTGGCCAGTGTAGGGCTTCATGAGCCATGGCATCAGTGGGTAGGCCACGTTGCCCATGATGCAAGTTGGCATCTGCATGTCCTCAACCGCAAAGTCCCTGAGGGGGAAGAATGTTCCAGCCTGCAGCCTGCGGTAAAGGCTAGAGTTCCTGAATATGCGGGCATCGTGTGCCCAGCTCGACCACCGTACAAAAATGTCTGAAACTGTCCATGTTCATCGTCCAGGGTCTGCAACACCATGGAGAAGTAGCCCTTCTTGTTAATAAACTGGGCCGCTTGGTGGTGTGGTGCACGGATCAGTATGTGTGTCCCATCGACTGAGCCTCCACAGTTTGGGAATCCAAGGGCAGCAAATCTGGCCACAATGGAGTCCAGGTCTCCGAGGTGGATGATCCTGTGCAGCAGGATGGAGATGATGGCTCTCACCACCTGCAGAAGGAGATATAGAAACACATAAAACAGAGAATGAGAGGGGGTGCCTGAGCCCTTGGGAGGTGCCCGCCCCCATCCTTTCCCCTCTAAAGACCTCAGGAGCCACACCCCATGAGGCTGCCCCCTTCCCCCAGAAGCAGGCTGTGTGAGGGCGGGAGCCTTGTCCCCACCCTCCACTCCTTCTCCCCTTTCCCAAGCGTTCCTCTTTTCCAGCTCCTTCCCCCAGGGACTGTACCCCGAGAGTGTCTTACCTCCATAAAGACGACCCCACAGGTGAACACCACACTGAACTGGTGTCCCACCGAGTGGTAGCTGTTGGGGGTGGAGAGCTTCCACATGGCAATTGCGACCCTCTTCCCCAGGGGGATGGCGGGCTGCAGGTGGGTGTCCTGTCATTGGATTGCAGGGCCACAGCTCCAGGAAGGTGGCCTTCCACATGCAGAAGTTTTGGAGCCACTGCTGGTCGTCCCACTGCTCCATGACGAGGCAGTCCCAGCAGTCGGAACTGGTGTCCAGCCTCCAAAATCTCCTCTCAGTCATGGGATACAGGGCCAAGGGCATTGCTCCCACATCGAGGCAGAGGTTATCTATGCTGAGCTCTGAGTCAAGCTGCGGCAGGACTGTCATGACGGTCTGCTGATAGTGCTGCAGAAGCTGCAGCATGGCAGTGTGGGACCATCCGCTCCAGCTCCATGGCAAAAAGAGAAAAAAATGTTGTGGCGTCCAAGATAGCTGAGAACCAAAGCGCACACTGCAAAATCTTTGCTGTCCCTCAGAGAGGTAGACAAGCAAGCAGCAGAAGCTGAGAAACGGCTGCCCAGGGATGCGTCTCAGATAGCCATAGGCAATAGCACAGGGAAGTAACTGCTGACCTAATGCCCTGGCAGAAGTGGTTCTGGGTGGCCTTTTATGCGAGACAGTGTCCAATGAGTGTGGACGCTTTCTTTCGAAAAAGCAGATTGCTTTTTCAATCCGCATTTGAAGTGTGGACACTCTCTTTCGAAAGAAGATTTTTTTTGAAAGAGATCTTCCAAAAAACTTCTTTCAAAAGAAGCTTGCAGTCTAGATGTACCCTCAGAGTGCCAGAGTGGGGAACAGCTCTGACATAGGGATAAAAGACAAGATTTACATCCCATCTTAGTGAGCCACTAAGTACATGTTTCCTTTGTTAAAAATTCTCTCTGAAATAGTATTATTTGAAATATTCATACTCAGGTTGTTAAACAATGTATTGTTTGAAGTGATACTGTGAAAGGGTCTAATCCTACAGACAAAGTGTCCATTACATTTGCACAATTGTCTCTGAAACTATTAAATAGCCCTTCATGGTGTACTCAAAATGTGATTTGCTATCCTGACATCAAAAAGTAATATGAATTTTGTAAACTATCAGGAACAATTTTTAATTGGATTCTTATATACCGTTCATCTTATATACTGTTTTGCTGCATCATTAAAGACAAACACATACAGAGAGATCCTTGTTCTACTTAAGACAATGGCAAAACTCCCATTGAATTTAACGGCCCCACAATTTCAGTTATTAATATAATGAGAATAAATTACCGACGGCAGTCTTTGTTTTCTTCTGACTTTTGACTGGATGAATTTGTCACTGATTTATGATCACCACCTGACTGCTGCTCATTATGTTGATATGTTTTGGGCACAGTGTACACTATTTTCTCTTCAGATTTAGTATCTTCTTGTTTTATGTAAGAAAAAATATTGCCATATAATAGTATTAATATAACATTTACATTTACTTTTAAAAGAAAAATACAGTATTTTAAAAGTACATTTCCACAACAATGTTTAAATAAAAGCAGTCCATTCCAGTAAGTGTTTTGTTAACGTTTTTTAATTAAAGAAAATTGCTGCCTTTTTAGAAGCTGTAGCTATTAACTACAAAATAAGACCAATCAAATTTTTCTTTATTGCTTACTTCTATATAAACTTGAAGTGGGCTTTGATATGTTAGTATTTATGGGTATGTCTACATTACCCCGCTAGTTCGAACTAGCGGGGTAATGTAGACATACCCATAAATACTAACATATCAAAGCCCACTTCAAGTTTATATAGAAGTAAGCAATAAAGAAAAATTTGATTGGTCTTATTTTGTAGTTAATAGCTACAGCTTCTAAAAAGGCAGCAATTTTCTTTAATTAAAAAACGTTAACAAAACACTTACTGGAATGGACTGCTTTTATTTAAACATTGTTGTGGAAATGTACTTTTAAAATACTGTATTTTTCTTTTAAAAGTAAATGTAAATGTTATATTAATACTATTATATGGCAATATTTTTTCTTACATAAAACAAGAAGATACTAAATCTGAAGAGAAAATAGTGTACACTGTGCCCAAAACATATCAACATAATGAGCAGCAGTCAGGTGGTGATCATAAATCAGTGACAAATTCATCCAGTCAAAAGTCAGAAGAAAACAAAGACTGCCGTCGGTAATTTATTCTCATTATATTAATAACTGAAATTGTGGGGCCGTTAAATTCAATGGGAGTTTTGCCATTGTCTTAAGTAGAACAAGGATCTCTCTGTATGTGTTTGTCTTTAATGATGCAGCAAAACAGTATATAAGATGAACGGTATATAAGAATCCAATTAAAAATTGTTCCTGATAGTTTACAAAATTCATATTACTTTTTGATGTCAGGATAGCAAATCACATTTTGAGTACACCATGAAGGGCTATTTAATAGTTTCAGAGACAATTGTGCAAATGTAATGGACACTTTGTCTGTAGGATTAGACCCTTTCACAGTATCACTTCAAACAATACATTGTTTAACAACCTGAGTATGAATATTTCAAATAATACTATTTCAGAGAGAATTTTTAACAAAGGAAACATGTACTTAGTGGCTCACTAAGATGGGATGTAAATCTTGTCTTTTATCCCTATGTCAGAGCTGTTCCCCACTCTGGCACTCTGAGGGTACATCTAGACTGCAAGCTTCTTTTGAAAGAAGTTTTTTGGAAGATCTCTTTCAAAAAAAATCTTCTTTCGAAAGAGAGTGTCCACACTTCAAATGCGGATTGAAAAAGCAATCTGCTTTTTCGAAAGAAAGCGTCCACACTCATTGGACACTGTCTCGCATAAAAGGCCACCCAGAACCACTTCTGCCAGGGCATTAGGTCAGCAGTTACTTCCCTGTGCTATTGCCTATGGCTATCTGAGACGCATGCTTAAAGGCA